CAGAAAGATTTTTTTTAAAGAAATTAATACTTTTATTCAGCAAGGATGCATTAAATTGATCAAAAATGACAGAAAAGACACTTATAATATTTCTTCTATTTCAAATAAATACTGTTCTTTTGAACTTTCTACTCATCAAAAAATGAATATGCATATATATATATATATATATAGACAGACAGATAGATATATAGATAGATAGATAGATAGATAGATAGATTAAATAAAATTATTTATTATTATTTCTGAAGAATCATGTGACACTGAAGACTGGAGTAATGATGTTGAAAATTCAGCTTTGATCACAGAAATAAATTACATTTTAAAATATATTCAAATAGAAAAGAGTTATTTTAAACTGTAAAAATATTTCACAATATTACTGTATTTTTTATCAAATAAATGCAGGCTTGGTGAGCAGAAGAGACTTCTTTCTAAAACCGTTCTAAATTTAAACGACAGTGTATCCGAATGAAATCATCTATCAGTCACCCTTTTCTCTAGATATTCGCATTGAGTCGTTGCAAAACCCATTAGTCGATTACTGAATGAAAGCAAGCCCGGTCTCTCTCACCAGCTCGGACGGTGGACTGGACCGAACGGCCTGATTGAGCCGGTTGAGGAACCAGGACAGACGCACGTTGCGTGAAATCCTGTACTCCTCTTTCATCAGCAGGTACACCTGCTCAGCCTCCTCCACCTTCAGAGAGAAAAACAGCAGAAAACAGCATTTAACATGGGAACTAACCTTAACATGTCAATATAGGAGCAACTTACTGCTAAAAAGCTGATCTTTAGAACTTGAAATGAGAAATAAGCTGCTTTTTGACAGATACAATATTAATCCTCATGATGTTGAATGTGTTTTAGTTATTCTGTACAGCATATGTTCACCATCCAACTACAGATTCCAACATCATGAAGATAAATAAAGGCCCTTTTGCATGTTTACAAATGCAAAGGCTAAATAGAATATTGCATATACGTGTATAAAAGTATATTACAGAATAATTTAACATGTAAATTCTAATTATATTTTTGTTTGTTTGTTTCCTTGCATTTTTCTAATGTAATACTGGCCCAGGAGGTGTCATCTAACATCTAGCATGTTTCATTATATTCTATTCCTATCTGGTTATGTTTACTATGGGTTTAGTGGCTCTACAGACACCATAGAGATCTCTAGCCATCAGCATAACTGCATTCAGCTGTTTATCATACAAAAGAAAACAAGAACAAAAAGGTCTTTATAGTTTGATTGCTGACAGGGTTAAATAGACACTGCAGTGTTTATAACACAACCTGCATCCACTGCTGGAGAATTTCAAAAAAGCTTCAGCTAAATGTCAAGAAGAACAGAGTTAAATGCATGCAGTGTGTCCTCATTTAATATCACTCAGATATGAAGCAGATGAAGAGCATGTTGTTGTTGTCTGAGGGAGGGGCTGCAAACACATGACAGAACTGCATTAAACTGATTTACTTCCAACCTCCGCCTTAAACCTCTCCCAAATATCTCTTATTTATTTAACAGGTTAGAAAAAGGCATTCGGTGCAAGAATAACAGAATAAAAGTCTCACATTTTCCCTAAAATAAATGTTTTTCTCATGTTCTGTTTATGTGCTCTGTTACTTAACCAGTAAACAATTCCGAAGGAACCGAATGAAACAAAGAAACACGGTCCAAATAAGAGTTTAGTTTACCTCATTGCCCTGTCTGTCTGCCATGCCGTGCTTCTCATTACTGGCAGGTTGATTTTGAACGAGTTTTAGAGGCTTTGTGTGTCAATAAACTGCAGCTCATCTGACTGCAGCCGCTTCACTTCCTGTTCCCGAATTCAAAATAAAAGCCCCGATACTCGTTCATATGGAGAAAATTGTATATGCGTATTAATTCTAATATTATTATTTTTAATTTAATTCTAACTTATAAAAAATGCATTAAAATAGAATTTGAGAGAAAAGCTGAATCGAAAAATTTACATGAAATTAGTATTATTATTTTTTTAATATCTCGAATTCCATAAGAATTGTGCTAAGGAGAATTTTTGAATTCATCTTTGGCACAGTAGGTGAACTGGAAATATAAACAGTTGAGATCTTAGCCTACGTTTTCTTCTGATAATTAAATTCGAAAAAATAATATATAAATATAAATCTGTAGCGGTGCTATTTAAAGGGATAGTTCACCCAAAAATGAAAATTCCGTCATCATTTACACACCCTCAAGTAGTGCCAAACCTGTATACATTTCTTTGTTCTGCCGAACAGAAAGGGAGATATTTTGAAGAAAGTTTGTAACCAGGCTGTTACATGAGGCACCATTGACTTCCATAGTAGGAGAAAAAAATACTATGGAAGTCAATGGTGCCCCAGAACTGCTCTGTTTCCCACATTCTTCAGAATATCTTCCTTTGTGTTCTGCAGAACAAAGATATTCATACGGGTTTGAAACTACTTGAGGGTGAGTAAATGATGACAGAATTTTGGAATGATGGATTTTGAAATTTGATGATGACATTTTTGGGTGAACTATTCCTTTAAGTTAGGAACCGTTCTCTCGGACGCGTTTCCGTACAGCCGGACTCCATTTCCTGCTGCAAGTGTTTGTTTACTTCCGCTTAATTGTGCCGTTTGGACAGTGGCGTTGAAATGCAGGTAAATTGTTATACGTTTATACTTCATGTCTATTTTTGCAGCTGTTTCACATTAAGAAAAACTCAGAATTAATGATGCAGCACGCAGGTGTTGTGCGAAAATGGACCTTTTTGCAGTAGGTTTGTGTGCTGGCACGCTAACTGTGGAGCGCTGCAGAAAAACACGCGAGACATTGTTATTGTTTTATTATATCATATAAGAGCTGAAGGGGGATATGTGTGTGTTTTATTTCGACAGCAGCGGGAGGAGAAGCAGCTGGAGGCGTCTCTGGAGTCTCTGCACGCTCGCGTGGCTCATCTCAAAGGTTCCCTGCAGAGTTTTATATTGAAACTGGAAAACGAGCATGACAGACTCACATGGTAAGAAATGCAGATCTTTCCTGATGAACTGCTCAGTGGATCTGTCACTGCATTGACGTGGATGTTTTGAATCCAGGCCCTCAGTGCTGGATAATTTCGCCCTTCTGTCCGGGCAGCTGAACACCATCAATAAGGTGTTAAAAAACGAGAAGACCCCATCCTACAGGTCCCAGGTCATCATCCCCCTGCTGCTGTCTCCTGATCGAGATGAAGAGCTGGTGGTGAGCGTATTCACCGAGTCACTCTGGTTATGCCAGCCTAACTGTCTTTTTTTAAGGTACGACCTTTTCTTCTGTTACAGAAACTAACAGAGCAGCGGGTGCCTGTGTTCAGCCATGAGATTGTGCCGGATCATCTCAGGACCAAACCCGACCCGGAGGTGGAGGAACAGGAGAAACACCTGAGCGCCGAAGCGGCCCGGATCGGACCTGAAGTAGCTCAGGTAAACGAATCCACGAGGGTTCTTTACTTGACTTAACCGAGCAACACCGTAGCAACCATCTAGCAAGGCCTAAATCCCTGTCTCCAGATGATAAAGGTATTCAGACTAAATGAGCCTTCTGTAACCCTCTGGTACACCCTTCTGATTGTCAGTGCTCAAAACAGACCGAAAACAATAACTGTTTTTTTTTTTTATGAAATGAATGTACTATATTTTGTTTCAATAATATATATATTAGTTGCTTATAAGTACATTTTCATGCATAATTATTGAGTTCTATTAGATTTTGCTGCTTCATTTTGGCTGATTTGCAGATTATATTCCAAAAAAATGCTGTTTTGTAAAAAATGTTTAAAAAACCTCGAAATTCAAGTGTTTTTTTTGTTGTTCTTGAAACCATTTAGCCTTTTCTAATCATGTCCACAGCTCTTTTAGTGTTCATATTGCAAATGCTACAAATGTCACCATTTTATTTTAAAAATTTGAAATCCTTGTTTTTTATAAAAAAAAATTCAAAACGATATACTTTATTTTTTTTTTTTCTCTCTCTTTCTTTTTTTGAAGGCCACCTCAGGGTTAACTTTCAAAGTAACTGATGTACATACATTTTAAATGTGACCCAGGTCCCCAAAACCAGTCATAAGGGTCAATTTTTCGAAATTGAGATTTTTTTTTAATAAGAATAAATAACCTTTCCATTGATGTATGGTTTGTTAGGATAGGACAATATTTGGCCGAGATACAACTTTTTGAAAATGTGGAATCTGAGGGTGCAAAAAAATCTAAATATTGAGAAAATCACCTTTAAATCTGTCCAAATTAAGTTCTTAGCAATGCATATTACTAATCAAAAATAAAGTTTTAATATATTTACAGTAGGAAATTTACAAAATATCTTCATGGAACATGATCTTTACTTAATATCCTAACGATTTCTGGCATAAAAGAAAAATCAATAATTTTGACCCATACAATGTATTGATGGCTATTGCTACAAATATACCCCAGCGACTTAAGACTGCTTTTGTGCTCCAGGGTCACAAATGTGAAATGTATAAAGGCTAGTTGTTGAATTCTGTTCTGTTTTCTTTTTAGAAACAGATCCAAACACTGAATAAACTTTGCTCGAATCTTTTGGAAAAGCTGAATAATCCTCGTGACGACAGAGACTCTGAAAGCTCAGGTAGTTTAACCGTTGCGCCTAGTTTTATATTTGCCGATTTGTCACGTGTGCAAAGTCATTGATGTAGAATGGACATTTCTATTCAGCTTTGAGACAAAACAAGCCATCCTTCAATCCCGCCGACACGAACGCTCTGGTGGCAGCGGTGGGGTTTGGAAAGGGCCTGTCGAAATGCAGACCACCCGGATCTGTCCCTCCTGGTCACCCTGGACAGCCGACGATGTCAACAGGTCCCACACTACAGCAGGTCACAATCGCTGGGACCACGGGGCATCAGGCCGGCATGGGAGGACAGGTCGCCCAACAGCAGCCTGGACAACCTGGTACCACATTTAATAACGTTCACAACACATTTATATGCAAAATCACCATTTATCATGCTTATACAATGTTTTTTTTTATTCTACACTTTGTTTTAACAGGTAAAATGCCCAGCAGCATCAAGACTAACATCAAGTCTGCATCTGCATCCATGCATCCTTACAACCGATGAGTTTCATTCATAAATGCTGCATTTTGTGAGTCGAAGTTTGGTATACAAAGCAAAAAAGCTCATTCGTTTTGTGCATTTTCAATAAACGAATTTGTTGAAATCGTGTGCTATCAAATTTCCTTTTATCCTTTTTACAGTCTATGCTTTTATCACATCAGATTTCAGGACTTCAAAGAAATAAATTCAAATTTAGTACTGAGAAACACAACAGAGACACTGCAGTGAAAGCGCGTTACACATACTAAACACAGCAGTGTATTTTAGTCAGTAGGTGGCAATGTTGGCTTTTTTATTGAATGTGTGTGTGGGCTAAGTACACTGCCATTCTGAAGTTTGGCTCAGATTTTTTTTTTAAATGAATAATTCATATTTTTATTCAAGGATGCATTAAATCAAAAGTGACATTAAAGACATTTATAATGTTACAAAAGATTTTTATTGTAAGTAAACAATGTTCTTTTGAACTTTCTATTCATTAAAGAATCCTGAAAAATTAAGTGTATCAGTTTCCACAAAAATATTCAGCAGCACAACTGTTTTTTGAACATTGGTTATAATCAGAAATGTTTCTTGAGCAGCAAATCAGCATATTAGAATGATTTCTGAAGATCATGTGACACTGAAGACTGGAGTAATGATGCTGAAAATACAGCTGCGCATCACAGGAATAAATTACACTTTAACAGATATTCACATAGAAAACAGCTATTTTAATTTGTAATATTTCACAATATTACTGTTTTACTGTATTTTTTGGTCAAATAAATGCAGCCTGTGAGCAGAAGAGACTTCTTTCAAAAACATAAAAATCTTACTGGCCCCAAATATTTCAGTTTAAAATGTTTCATTGTAATTACAAGTTTAAGTGTTGACTTGGGAGCTTTTACAATTTCATTATTTAATGTTCCTCATTTAGGAACGGTGTTATGATTAGTGACAATTAAGTGTACTTTTTGGTTTATTTTTTCAGCTGTTATGAATGTCACATAATCGCAGCTGAGTGTAAAACATTCTGTTCATAGCCTCAATAACAACCAAGTATTACAAGGTGAATGGTTTTTTGACATGTATCATAGTTTTCTGATTATCATGATGATCATGCACACATTGTGTTGCTCCATAAACAAATAGAAATCTCATACGCTTTAGGACCAGGGAAAAAGGCATTTTTCTTTTAACCCCACTGACTGTTAACCGCTCTTCTACCAGCAGCCTTTCACCCATGACTCGTGAACCCGACAGCATCACACACCTTCAGTATCACCTCACATCACGGGGGTGTTTAATGGTAAATCTGCAAGTGAAAATGAAAGCCATTTGGGACCCTTTTGAGTTCTTTGAGCCAATTAGCACATCAGGAGCATCGGCGGGTGATACATGAACCTTCTCAGAGGATTCCAAAATGTAATCACATTCCTAGATGTGCACATAAATTAGGTATAAAATTTCAGTTCCCTTTTGTGTTTTGTGGGTGTTAATGAATACATACGAGAAATAATTGCTGAGAATGAACTTTTACGCTTTTACCCACCAATTCAGACAGTATCAGCAAATATTCACCATTAAACATAAAACAACTGTAAATGGCAAAATACAGCAGTATGCAATATAGCAATTGCAAAAAAATTCATTTTGGTTATTTTTTTTCTTTTTTTTTAAGACTGGAACAAGTTTTGATACTTTATC